TTCATCAGACAGGTTTGGAGAACCAGAAAGAATAACATTAAGAGAAACGTTACAGTAACGTGTGATACTGTCAAACATGATTTGTCGTTGTTGTGTATACAGCACACAATCAAAAAAATAATGTATTACATTTTCACACCTATTACCACATGCACATGTAGGATCACTTACAATATTAACTCTATACAAATCATATTTTAAAATACTACAAGAATGACGCAATCGTGTGTGTAAAATATTCAGTTTACGATTTCCAACATCAACATTGTTCATAATGTCCTGGCATACCTTTACAACTGATGTTTTGATATCAAATGATGTGATACAAGACGTCATTATAGCGTCAAAATATAACGTAAATATTATCCAATGAAAGGCCGTCATAAATTTGAATGCACTCGATGGTAAGGACCTCATGATTAACCAGATGGCATTCATATTGACAATGAATACAATCGGATCACCGTCTAAATGTTATATCAACATTTCAGATACTATTCTAAGATATTAACGTGAATTTATATTGAGTGTTATCTGAGGCGACGTGACAAGCGCTGACGTAACAGGTTTACGTGACGCCACCATGACGTCATGTCTACGTTCCAGTGAATACAATCCTAATTAACACAGAGTGATGTGGAAATGTAAGTTACATGTATTATTAAACACAACACACGTCCCTAATGATACACAGTGCGTCAAACAATACACAAGGAGAAAACTAGCTTATATTGTTTTAGTATTCAAGTATTTAATGGTAAACCATTTCCAACCTTTTAAAATTGATCATGGGTTCTATGTTTACTGGTGTATCTAAGCAGTAGGAAATGGGCGAACCAAGGTTCTGGCATTAATTACGTGCATACACTCTCATACAGAACTTCTTTCTTTTGTATGAGATATACTCTTTTGCTATTTCCCCTAAGACTATAGGTTAGAATTTCGATACACAGACTGGAACAAGGCGTTAGTGAGGCAGAACTAACAAGGGGACATAACCAATGTAACACTGACCACATACTGTGAGTGACCTTGAAAAACACAAAGGGTATTATCGTATTGTAGTGAGTTCTCAGCGGATATAAAGCCGAGCTTCGCTTAGGGTGTTATTAAATAAAAAGGTGTTTTTGCTGTATCAGTCGTAACCCTGTTATGACTTGTATAAATTGTAAATAAAGAGGCGATACACGACACAGTTCAATGAAGAGATAATTCCATACCATTGTCAGGAAAATAATATTCATTTATCATAAATAAAAATATTAAACATTTCTTAACCAGTTTGAACCAAATAATAAGTTGTTTGAATAACTCAGGTCCTATACCGATATTTTTCCTCTGCAGAACTTCCGGTCATGGATGGATGAACTTTTAGATTTGTCAAAGACCATAGACGGACGGGAGGTACACACTGGTTTACAATTTTCAAAATTCTTCGGCACGCGCTCTCACAATCCGACCGTTTACATGCTGGATACATTGTCCTACCATTGAATACGTCGTTCAGTAACATGTCTACCATCAAGTATTAATCACACAAATACAAAGATGTACATGTACCAGTTCTGTTGTGATACGATATATAGATCAAATTATTATAGTACTGTTTTCACTGGCGACCTTGTGATAAGGTTGTCCCTATTCTAAGGCATTTATTAAAACAGGCATAAACATGATATATCGCCGGTTTGTGCATTATTTCTAGGTTAATTTGTTATTGTTCCTGTGGTCTTGAATTCTGTCGGTGTCTGTCGGAGTCACTAATGTGGCTGGCAACCACCAATCGGATTCAATATTCAAATGAGAAATTTGCGAATGATATGAATTATATGTACCGTCATATCAGGCTACCATCGAGGTTGTCCAAATTATCAGTAAATAACTGTATAGGCTGTGCGATAATGGGGATATGTTTGGTCTGTTTAGTAAATATTAACCAGCCTGCACGTGAAAGGTGAATACTGTATCTTATTATCACTTGTAAATAATGAGACCTTGGGAAGAGAAAGAGTAAAATTCAGTGCAAAATCAAAATTGGCAAAAAGATACGAATACATACATTTTAAATGACATTTTGACATAAACTAAAATCAAATAGCATGCTATATATAGACATTTACTTTTGTGATCCCCGCCAAGGAATCGGGTGACTAGAACAGGTGTCGCACGATAGTGACACGAAATACGACTGTTCGTGACGTACACCATCAGCTCGTGCACCCTTACCCTAACATCAGAGGGAGGACACTGTTCACAGATGGCGTACATCGCTCTTACCAAACCCTCAGGGTGAGGGTCGGCTAGTACAGGTCACCCCTAACGTGACATCAGAGGGGGGGGGAGACACTATTATCAGATGGCGTACATCGCTTCTACCAAACCCCCTGGGTGAGGGTCGGCTAGTACAGGTCACCCCTAACGTGACATCAGAGGGGAAACACTGTTCACAGATGGTGAACATCGCTCCTACCAAACCCCCAGGGTGAGGGTCGGCTAGTACAGGTCACCCCTAACGTGACATCAGAGGGGGGGGGAGACACTATTCACATATGGCGTACATCGCTCCTACCAAACCCCCAGGGTGAGGGTCGGCTAGTACAGGTCACCCCTAACGTGACATCAGAGGGGAAACACTGTTCACAGATGGTGAACATCGCTCCTACCAAACCCCCAGGGTGAGGGTCGGCTAGTACAGGTCACCCCTAACGTGACATCAGAGGGGGGGAGACACTATTATCAGATGGCGTACATCGCTCCTACCAAACCCCCAGGATGAGGATCGGCTAGTACAGCTCACCCCTAACGTGACATCAGAGGGAGGACACTGTTCACAGATGGCGTACATCGCTCCTACCAAACCCCCTGGGTGAGGATCGGCTAGTACAGGTCACCCCTAACGTGACATCAGAGGGAGGACACTGTTCACAGATGGCGTACATCGCTCCTACCAAACCCCCAGGATGAGGATCGGCTAGTACAGGTCACCCCTAACGTGACATCAGAGGGAGGACACTGTTCACAGATGGCGTACATCGCTCCTACCAAACCCCAAGGATGAGGATCGGCTAGTACAGGTCACCCCTAACGTGACATCAGAGGGGGGACACTGTTCACAGATGGCGTACATCGCTCCTACCAAACCCCAAGGATGAGGATCGGCTAGTACAGGTCACCCCTAACGTGACATCAGAGGGGGGGCACTGTTCACAGATGGCGTACATCGCTCCTACCAAACCCCAAGGATGAGGATCGGCTAGTACAGGTCACCCCTAACGTGACATCAGAGGGGGGACAGTGTTCACAGATGGCGTACATCGCTCCTACCAAACCCACAGGATGAGGGTCGGCTAGTACAGGTCACCCCGAACGTGACATCAGAGGGAGGACACTGTTCACAGATGGCGCACATCGCTCCTACCAAACCCCCTGGGTGAGGGTTGGCTAGTACAGGTCACCCCGAACGTGACATCAGAGTGGGGACACTGTTCACACTGTTGACACTGCTGTGGGGATAGAAGTGACTCGCTGCTATTTGCCAGGACTTGTTAGCTCTGTTGTGACATTTAGTGTGTTATAATCATAAAGCATCACTGAAAGCCTGGTGAAGACCTTAACAAGATAATTTTACGAGTTATTGGATATATAAATGAATATACAGTTATGTGTTGATTATAAAGATAATATAATAAGCAAAATCCTCCATTTTTTCTATAAGGCAGGCAAGTCGACTTTCGGGTAGATGTCGTGACGTCATGGTACGTGTGAATTACGATATTTATTATAGAGATGTGTTACAAATCACTTTTAATAGCGGAAATCTTATGTGAACATATAGATCTAAAAGTGTTTTTTGGTTTAGAAATACATTAAATAGTCTAAGGACTGGAAAACATAGCCCGTGATTTACCTGAATACGTAAACCCGATACGACGGATGGAAGAATAGTTGTTTATCTGTTTAAGTGAAACTATTGACGTTTGTAGTCTTTCACAAAGTTGCGTGTAAGTAACTAGTCCATGTGTATATTTAGGATAATGTTTATAAATTGTACACACATCACCTGTGCCGACTTGGATAAATATAGTTTATTACCAGTAATCGCTTTGCTTAGTTCACCGGCATGAATGACTTCTACTTGATTAACTTTACAACAATACACAATCACAGCTGCATGACGTCCTGTACTATTACCTACACTTTTTTTATGAAGTGAACAATATTCCGAACACTTTCTAAGCCCTGTAACCTAATCAACACATATTGACAGCTCCCCTAAATGACATAGCGTGGCAGTTTTACATTAACTTCCACAGGATGAGTCAACCGATATCTCTCAATTTAGGTTTTTTGTTAAGTTTTATGTTTCAGCCTTACACACTCTACTGTCATCTCCGACCCCTCCCCACACTGGGTGTACGGTCGAACAGAAGATCATGTTGAGCGACCTGCGGTGTCCGCACACCGACCTAGAAGCAGTGAGGCATGTTGGCACGCAATTACGGTACAGGGGCGGAGGGGGCGGTGAGAGCGACCAGGGACTTAGTTCACGTTGCTCGTCATAGAGCTCCAACACGGAATCCGATTTCTGCTATTTAAAGCTCTGGCTCCAATCTGGACAGTCCGATTTCTGTGGACAGAGCAAAAATGTGTCTATATTCAGAAATAATCCGGCGTACGCAGCGAGCCTCCTGTTCAAGTTGAAAAGTGTAAGCTGGATTAAAATGGTTTTGTCATCCGAGAGTATAGAAAACCGCTGAGTTAGCCTCAATTTAATCCAAAGGACTTTTGTCTACATTCTTTCATACACATGTTTGTAAACGGTTGAGATAATGTAAACAAACGTAGCAATAAAGAGATACCCACCTCATACATGGGTGTGACAATCGCCGGGTACTAACTCGGAGGACTGGTAGAACGTGGACAACGAAGGAACAAATAGAAACTTTCGAATAATATGCTGTCAGTAGCTCTTTTAATTTCGTGAACTTTCGTCATTCGAGATGCATGTTATTTCATTATGGATACTGTGTTTACTTTTGGTGTCTCCGGTAATTTCCAAGAAACATGAGATCCAACTCGTGGACAATGGATACACGGGACTGAAGGTAGTAATTTCTGACAAGGTTCCGGAGACTGCTGGACTGGTCGATAGAATAAAGGTAAGACATTACTTGTGCGGACCATTAATTACAACTATATACAGAATAAAACATAGATCAGCACCTACGTCTGGATTAGAGGACCAGAGATCGGCTGTCAAAGAGTATCACTTGTGATGGCAAATTATCTCAATTTTCTAACATGCAATTTAAAGCAGTACACATTACGTACAGGAAGCCACGATTGTCTCTGTTGCTGGTTTAATCGCCCCGTGGGCATCTCTGATCATTTCAAGGCCTGAAATCCTTGCATGCCACCAAGAACGATAAGGTGAAATGGTCGTAGACATAACCATGACAACACAGATTTGTCTGTATCTCAAGTTTTCTTTGAAACACAATCCGCCAAGATAAAGGGACACGTACATATTTAAATGTTCTACTATTTAAGGTAGAATATTGTAGCAATATTATTGCATTTTTAATACTATTGCAAAACCAATACTTTATGTAAAATATACAACAAGCGTCATTATGTTACAGAAACCATGTACAATAAAATTACATAAATGACAATACACATCAACCATTTAATGTCATAACACTTAAACCATGTAATGTTATAACACTTAAACCATATAATGTTATAACACTTAATACATGTAATGTTATAACACATAAAACATATAATGTTATAACACATAAACATGGAATGTTATAACACATAAACATGTAATGTTATAACACATAAACATGTAATGTTATAACACATATAATGTTATAACACATAAACATGAAATGTTATAACACATAAACCATGTAATGTTATAACACATAAACCATGTAATGTTATAACACATAAACCATGAAATGTTATAACACATAAACCATGTAATGTTATAACACAAAAACCATATAATGTTATAACACTTAAACCATGAAATGTTATAACACACAAATCATGTAATCTTATAACACATAAACCATGAAATGTTATAACACTTAAACCATATAATGTTATAACACACAAATCATGTAATCTTATAACACATAAACCATGAAATGTTATCACACATAAACCATGTAATGTTATAACACAAAAACCATATAATGTTATAACACTTAAACCATATAATGTTATAACACATAAACCATGTAATGTTATAACACATAAACATGTAATGTTTAACACTTAAACCATGTAATGTTATAACACATAAAACATGAAATGTTATAACACATAAACCATGTAATGTTATAACACATAAACCATGAAATGTTATAACACATAAACCATGTAATATTATAACACATAAACCATGTAATGTTATAACACATAAACCATGTAATGTTATAACACATAAAACATATAATGTTATAACACATAAACCATATAATGTTATAACACATAAACCATATAATGTTATAACACTTAAATTATAACACATAAATGTTATAACACATAAACCATGTAATGTTATAACACATAAACATGTAATGTTATAACACTTAAACCATGTAATCTTATCACATATAAACCATGTAATGTTATAACACTTTAACCATGTAATGTTATAACACATAAACCATATAATGTTATAACACTTAAACCATGTAATGTTATAACACATAAACCATGTAATGTTTAACACTTAAACCATGAAATGTTATAACACATAAACCATGTAATGTTTTAACACATAAACCATGTAATGTTATAACACATAAACATGTAATGTTATAACACTTAAACCATGTAATGTTATAACACTTAAACCATGTAATGTTTAACACTTAAACCATGAAATGTTATAACACATAAACCATGTAATGTTTTAACACATAAACCATGTAATGTTATAACACATAAACATGTAATGTTATAACACTTAAACCATGTAATGTTATAACACTTAAACCATATAATGTTATAACACATAAACCATGTAATGTTATAACACTTTAACCATGTAATGTTATAACACATAAACCATGTAATGTTATAACACATAAACCATATAATGTTATAACACATAAACCATATAATGTTATAACACTTAAACCATATAATGTTATAACACTTAAACCATGTAATCTTATCACATATAAACCATGTAACGTTATAACACATAAACATGTAATGTTATAACACATAAACATGTAATGTTATAACACTTTAACCATGTAATGTTATAACACTTAAACCATATAATGTTATAACACTTAAACCATGTAATGTTATAACACATAAACCATTTAATGTTATAACACTTAAACCATGTAATGTTATAACACATAAACATGAAATGTTATAACACATAAAACATTTAATGTCATAACACTTAAACCATGTTATGTTATCACACTTAAACCATGTAATGTTATAACACATAAACCATGTAATGTTATAACACATAAACCATGTAATGTTATAGCACTTAAACCATGTAATGTTATAACACATAAACCATGTAATGTTATAACACATAAACATATAATGTTATAACACATAAACATGTAATGTTATAACACATAAACCATATAATGTTATAACACATAAACCATATAATGTTATAACTCATAATGTTATAACAAATACTCCATGCAGCATTTTTCAAATGTAAATTATAATACAAAATATGTATAGTAGAATGCACAAACCACGTAATGTAATACACACCCCATGTAATGTGATACACAAATTACACAATATATTACACAAACCACGTAATGTAATACATGAATCGTGATATATTTTGTTACACAAAAATGTAATATTATAAACAGAATCAATGTGATATGATAATAGAGGATACAGGTACTATTATGATATTCAATTCCCATTATAATACACAAATCATTTTATATTATAACACAGAAACCATGTAATATCATAATACACCTAGAATAACTGTACAATAATGCTACTGTAAATCCATTAAGACCAGGGACATGTTTACAGAACTGTTTAAACTTACTGATATCAAGCTCAGAAACCGCTACAGATTGAAATGAGACAATGACACGCTTTTTATCAATTCTGCCACGACGAAATATCAGAACACTCGATAATCCAAACATTTGCACGTCCCTAAGGCGGTGCGGTTAATTTAGATTTCACTGAATTTTAAAACACATATCTATTTTACAACCAGATGATTTTAATGACGAGTTAAATAGTCCGTTGAGATTTGTGTAACATCTCCGCACTTAGAAACTTCATTCAACACATAAGATTAAGACATGAAAGCTATGAATCTAATTAAGATCATGTCAGAGAACTATTATCCCCAGGTGTACATTAGAACTTGACGCCGTCTTTTAACATCCTGGATCCGGATTTGTGATACCCGTATAATGTTACATGTGTTTGGAAACTTCTCCCCATTTTATGGCTCCGTCCTTCCTTATATAGTTCATGCCCAGAGTTTACTATTCAAGAAATCTCTTAAAACTAAGCCATATATTAGTGGGTTCTGGTATAATCAGTACAAGGATTAGGTTTCTAGCACTGCCCTCTGTTACAATATGTGACGTCACCACTACCTTATATTATATATGTCAGCAATGTTAGAGGGTTGGAATATAAAGTTAATATTATCCCTGCAACTTAAGTTGTACTTAAGTCTGAAAGTGAACAAAAAGCCAGTATGGTCATATACATGTAATATGTGACAGTTCAAAGATTTATAATATAAAAACATTGGCCTTTTACATTATAGTCCGAGCAATAGAATGTGTATTACTGCAGAAAAGATAATAATAAATAAATAAATAAAGAGATAAATAGATAAATAAATAGATAAATAAAAGTTAATTGCGGCTGATTTATACAATGTTCTCATATAAAACCAAAAACCTGACATTTATTTTCTTAAATATTTTCTTTCCGTTGGACGGATGTATATATCTAATATCTCTCTGTTTCATCCTTTAACTCATGCGGATCCATTATTCATTAGACATAAAATAAATATAAGCAAATATTCTAAAATTTGAAAAAAATGAAATCATATTTATTTTTATCATGAATATCACGTTTAAAAACAAGAAAACGCTGTAACGTTAAAATTTTAAAAATATCACAAAACGATAATTTTGAAAAAATAGCGTTGTCGGCTCAGTTTGATTAAACCATTAAAAACTTGTTCTAGATATGTAGAATTTTATATCATATTATTGTAAGAAGTCCGTAACAACGTATTGACATCAACTGTAATGATTACATAGGTCTAATTGTGTTATCCTTAACCCAGATAACACAGACACATCCTGCTATATCGTATATAGAAACCGAGAGGTAAATTTTAACTTTGAGCACACAGCGATATAAACAACGTTATAATCCCGAGACATGTATAAAATGTATACCACATGTAAGTAAAACTCGTAAATATGTTTATTCGACATAATTGATGGATTTTAAAAATTATAATTGTTTTATTAACCACCTGCAGGCCGTGACACATGTATTAGCTAAGGCGAGACGAATCAGATGTTCAGTTGTGGGAGGTTTAAGACGCGGAAATTCTAGTCGTACAATTTTTTCACCTGTGTGATTCAGCTTTTCATTGTAAGCATTTAAAACTTTTTGTTGTCCGAGCTCAAATCAACCTTAACACTCTTAAATTTATAATGCGAACAAGTATTTACAGGGTGATATATATTAATATCATTTAGGATTATCGTGTTATTGTTTTCATGTTACAGGTACACAAATATTTTATGTCTGAACACAGGTCCACTCTTTTAGGTTCAAAAGACTCGGATAGGTTACTTTGTTGCTGCCATGAAAATTCTTTAAATGAATTTTTGTCAAACATATCATTTAAAACAGAAACAGTGGACGATATACATATTCACGACATCTTGAGAAGATGGCTGACAAACTTAGGAAGGTGATATCACCTGATGGCTGACAAACTTAGGGACTTAATATCACCTGATGGCTGACAAACGTAGGAAGGTGATATCACCTGATGGCTGATAAACTTGGGAAGGTGATATCACCTGATAGCTGACAAACTTAGGAAGGTGATATCACCTGATGGCTGGCAAACTTAGGAAGGTGATATTACCTGATAGCTGACAAACTTAGGGACTTAATATCACCTGATGGCTGACAAACGTAGGAAGGTGATATCACCTGATGGCTGATAAACTTGGGAAGGTGATATCATATAGGATATATATATATATATATTGCTTTTACCTCGGCTTTCGTTAATATCACTTTTCATGGGTGGATAGATTATTTTATCAACCTGATTTAATGTCAATATCTGTTTAAAGTCACCCGATGACTTAACCTAGAGAAGGTAATATCACCCGACTACTGACAAACCCATGACTGACCTATATGTGAATTTCGGGCAGGTAACATCAGCTAAAGTCAGTACCCAGATTCTGCCTTGTAGTGATATAAAAGCCTTCTAATATCCGACACATCTGACGTCACATGATAAAGGGACCAATTAAACAGCATAGTACAAAATAAATGTAAGTTGTATGTAGGTAATGGTATACAAAAGTATGTCAATGTAGCTGTGATTGTAGGGTTCGAATTCCTAGCGACAATGATCGATATCCTTGGTTAAACCGTCACCCACAAATGAATACGATGTTTATGGGATACAAAACGTGTTCAGTCCTAATAACCTTGACCTCAATCCTTTGCAGACGGCCTTCACTGACGCGTCCAGTTTACTCTATTCTGCCACCAAGAACTTGGTGTATTTCAAGGAGATAACTATTGTTGTCCCGAAGTCTTGGTCTTCCTCCACCCAGTATACTACCAGTTCTGGGTCAGTATCAAGCAGTATGGACTTTCTGGTGGACACTGCAAAACCAGAAACAGGAAATACGCCATATGTCCATGGACTGACTAAGTGCGGCGGACAAGGCTTGTATGCGCATGTCACACCGGAACTGATGCTTACATCTCAGTCAATAGGATATGGCCCTATTGGTAAGGAAGCGGTGTTCTAGTCAGTGTTGAGGATACCATGTTTAATTTTACCATTGCCTAACGTCTAACGCTCCCATCTCTCCGTGAGGTGCGAACACTACCAATAATGTTGTGTTGGTAATACATTAACGATACATTCCTAAAAAAAAAGTGTGTCCTCAGACTAAATAATTTTGAGATAATCATATTGTTAATGTTATCGCGTCAAGTATCTTATACCCCAGGAAAGTGGACGGTATTGATAATAGGAAATCGTGTAAGTAATGTGTTTCTGTTCCACCCACTGAACTGAAAAATGATACGACAGAGGTAATATTTCTGTATATCGCTGGTAGTACAACATTCCGGATTTGTTTAATGGGCTCTTATTTCCCCATAATTGTAACTTTATATAGTAAAAGGAGTGATGATTTTTTTGTGTGTATGCTGACTTACATGTGAATACTGAGGGTTTGTGAAATGGAGCGAGTAAGCTTGTAAAGCAATTAACATATAGAGAATTATTGATGTGTGTCAGTCATTTTCCACCTAACTTTGACACTTTCATGATCGTTTATTCGGACTCTCTCCTTACAATCCGCTGTCTTCTCCCTCTCTTTGTTATCTGATGTTTCATCCTTCTCTTGTAAAATGAGATTCCCTTCCTCAATCCTCTCTTTGTTATCTGATGTTTCATCCTTCTCTTGTAAAATGAGATTCCCTTCCTCCTTGCAATCCACTGTCTTCTCCCTCCCTTTGTTGTCTGATGTTTCATCTTCTTGTAAAATGAGATTCCCTTCCTCCTTGCAATCCACTGTCTCCTCCCTCCCTTTGTTGTCTGATGTGTCATCCTTCTTTTGTAAAATGAGATTTCCTTCTTCTTTGCAATCCACTGTCTCCTACTCTCTTTGTTATCTGATGTTTCATCGTCGTGAAATCCTCTGATTCACCTTCATTGTCTTGAATGTAGATGTTATTCCTCCCCTTGGTATCTGTTGTTTTTTCTTCAATGGAATGTCCTTCCCCTATAGTCTGTGTTTGCCTGACTAATTTGTTATATGACATTTTCCGTCTCACTTTTACGGGGCATATCTTTCCCCCTCCCCACAGTACGATTTATTAATAATTATTGATATGATAAGCCTTTTTCATCTTCTGTGTGGTATGTATCTCATGCAATGATGATATTTATCTGCAGAAAAGATCTTGGTTCACGAGTGGGCCCACTTAAGATGGGGAGTGTTTGATGAGTACCCATCAGCAGAACAGCCAAATATGGATGAGAATGAGAGATTCTACAACGAGGACGGTACATGGAAACCGGTTATGTAAGAATAATCATTCCGCAAAAAATACCCGACAAAATTCATGTATTTTTATTTGATTGTTATATTAGCTTTTTTTCATGGCGGCAATGCCCTTTTGGTTGCATTTTGGAAACCGATAACATTTTAAGAAGTGCATTTATCACAGTTGTAACTGAGAAATATATCAATTTATCCATTTGGTAAAAAATCGAACTTTTGCAATTTTGACCAATCAGAGCTATGCATTGCAGTCACTGCAATGAAGTTTGTAATCTCGTTCATCCAGCCGTTTGATCACAGTGTGATTCGGGTTTTCTATCATTTGAAATGGCGTCCTCTTGATGTCCAGTGTACATTGGAATGCCTGCCGTGGTATTTATACTCACCGCTAGAGTGCAATAGTTTTATCAAGCGCTGCAGAGAAAAGTTGTACTAAGACAGGTAATCCTGTCAAGAGTAAGGTAAAACTATCCGACGTCAAAGAATGTGATAACATTTTCCAAACTCTTTTGCATACCTTTGAAAATGTCTTTAACGAAACTTACCCGTTAGATGTGACATACATGTGATAGCAGAAGTTCATTAGATATCCTCTATCTATTCCACTTCAGGTGTACTGAGAAGATTCTGGGATCTAATCTACGAGATTGTTCGAACTCTCGATCAAGGTGCTTCGTCGACCCGGACGGTAAACCGGAATCGGACTGCCAATTCTGTGTACAGGTTCCGAACAGCGCTCGTGCCTCCTTAATGGCTTTTCAGTGGATATCATCCGTAAGTTCCGAACATCTTACTCACTGAAACATTGCCTCGTTTACGATTTTTTCCGTGTTACGACTACAGACAGTTGAAGAATCTTGACTGTTAATACTGATTTTAGGTGACAGAAATTCAGAGGAGCGTCTTTCATTCCTGTAGTTATTAGAATACCAATGTTATTCTTTTACCTGTGTACATTAAATATCGATTAATCTATTTGAATTGTGTTTGTTTAGGTTGTCGAGTTTTGTGACGAGAACACGCCGTCAGTAGACGAAGCTTTACGTCATAATTCACGTGCTCCCAACGACCAGAATCGCTATTGTGGTCAGCGAAGTGTTTGGGAGGTGATGAGGACACATTCAGATTTTAATGGTATGGTCACGTGATTAATTCAAACACAGTAAAACTTTTAATGGCCGAGTCATGTGATACAAACGCATTCAATATTTTGAGTTGTAGGGTCATGTGTTGTGGACACATTCATGGTATTAAGCTGCAGTATAATAGCATATGTGATGAAATATAGTTCATAAAAGTGTCAGATATTTGATAAACATAGAAATCACTATGCAAATACATGTATAAAACATTAACAAGCCTTAATTTACGGGACAAAATAAACATGTGTGTTTCCAGTATTGACGAATGTATACTTAAGTCACATTTAGCAAGAAAATTCATGAAATTGGTTTTGATAACCATTGATGTCTGAAACTATATGCCTGCGTGGCATGATTATTTTGACATGCGTCATTGGGCACAATTCAGCATAACGTCAATGTCAGGTAAACAAAGATTAAATAGACCTAACAGACAGTTTCGACAGTGAGAATTTTCAGTAAATGTTGCAGGGAAATAGAATATATGGCCAATGGTTTGGGACAAAAGGACAAAATTCGCTCGCCAAAGGCTCGCCACTTCTGTCTTTCTTCACCCTCGCCAAGATACAGCCTATATTTCCAGACACTGACCGGTATTCTCTGTATATTTCTTTACTTGATCACTAATGCACGTGTTAAAATACAGCTGTTTTCCGCCGTTCCCGAATACAGCAAAAATATATGTTGTAGATATATTTCGACAATGGCAACGCCTGTTGTAGGTACCTATCTATCTGTACTGCATCTCTAATGTGTTTACATATTTTGTAAACAGTGGAACTGTAAAGCACCATAACCATTTATATTTGGTTGACTCCAGTCATAACGGTTATAATCCTAGTACATGAGTGTATCCGATAGTACACCTTACGAGACACTAATAACACCAGGATATTCGATGTTAACATCGATATGTACTATATACTTACTAAAGATAGACCTAGCTTATCTATATACATCAATCAGTAGGACGTGATCTACATTGGATATCGGTTTTATCGATCCATCACCTACACAAGCTGCACACCTAGCTTTATTTTATTTTATTTCAATGAATATGATTACATTACAGCGTCCAACACAGCAGGGACTTCTACAAAGTCGACCACTCCCGAGTTTACTGTGGTCCAGGAAGGGGAGTTAAGACTTGCTCTTGTATTGGATATTTCCAATAGTATGAACGCTAAGATTGTCGGGGTATGTAGTCCTGTAACAAACTAATTTACATATCTCCATTAACCCTCAGAATGTCGGGGTATGTAGCCCTGTAACAAACTAATTTACATATCTACATTAACGCTAAGATTGTCGGGGTATGTAGCCCTGTAACAAACTCATATACATATCTCCATTAACGCTAAGATTGTCGGGGTACGTAGCCCTGTAACAAACTCATATACATATATCCATTAACGCTAAGATTGTCGGGGTATGTAGTCATGTAACAAATTCATATACATATCTCCATTAACGCTAAGATTGTCAGGGTATGTAGCCCGGTAACAAACGCATATACATATCTCCATTAACGCTAAGATTGTCGGAGTATGTAGCCCTGTAACAAACTAATTTACATATCTACATTAAAGCTAAGATTGTCAGGGTATGTAGCCCTGTAACAAACTCATTTGATACATATCTTCATTAACGCAACAAACAAACTCATATACATATATTAACATATCTAACATATACATATCTACATTAACGCTAAGATTGTCAGGGTATGTAGCCCTGTAACAAACTCATTTGATACATATCTTCATTAACGCTAAGATTGTCGGGGTACGTAGCCCTGTAACAAACTCATATACATATCTCCATTAGCGCTAAGATTGTCAGGGTATGTAGCCCTGTAACAAACTCATTTTATACATATTTTCATTAACGCTCAGATTATCGGGGTATGTAGCCCTGTAACAAACTCATATACATATCTCCATTAACGCTAAGATTGTCGGGGTACGTAGCCCTGTAACAAACTCATATACATATCTCCATTAGCGCTAAGATTGTCAGGGTATGTAGCCCTGTAACAAACTCATTTTATACATATTTTCATTAACGCTCAGATTATCGGGGTATGTAGCCCTGTAACAAACTCATATACATATCTCCATTAACGCTAAGATTGTCAGGGTATGTAGCCCTGTAACAAACTCATTTTATACATATCTCCATTAACGCTAAGATTGTCGGGGTATGTAGCCCTGTAACAAACTCATATACATATCTCCATTAACGCTAAGATTGTCGGGGTATGTAGCCCTGTAACAAACTCATATACATATCTCCATTAACGCTAAGATTGTCGGGGTATGTAGCCCTGTAACAAACTCATATACATATCTTCATTAACACTAATTGTACTTAAGATCAATATGACCTTCTCTGATATTATTCTACTGATATAGTACAGTATCATACAATCACATGGTTGTGCCCTATTCTTTATTGTAGCCATCAAGACTACAGTTACTCCAGGACATAGTAGGAAACTTCCTTAAGTACACATTACCAGATAACTCGGATGTTGGAATCGTCACTTTCTCCTCCGGTGCCCAGATCGTCACTTCCATGACTACCGTGACGTCAGACGCTGTACGTGAGAGTCTCGTGCAGGATCTGCCGTCCACGGCATTTGGTTATACAGCTCTTGGAGATGGTCTACTCAAAGGGCTAGAGGTGATGGAACATGTGCATATTGTATATATAATATTAGCTATGTAGTAAACTACACGATTTTATCACAAATAGCATTGCCATGAGGCAATATTTTGTAATTGGTGTGATGTCTGTGTTTATTTTACAATCATACTGACTCCATTGTAAGGTCGACAGTAACCATTTGTGTTTTTGTATCCAATATTTCGTCCTATTTTGCAGGTTCTTAACACAACGGCAAACTTGAATGGGGCTACCATTATATTGTTAACCGACGGGAAGGAAAATAGGCGCCCCCTGGTAGCGGATGTGCTGCCGATTCTTGTAAGTTCCGGTGTCACGGTCCACTCGCTCGCCATTAGTAGCAGCTCAGACGGTCAGCTGACATCCATCTCCCAGGCTACCGGGGGGAGGAGTTTCTTCTATTCTGAGAGCAGTACCTCCACGGCTCTACAAGATGCTTTCGCGGGAATATTGGAAGAGTCTAGCGCTCCAGTACAGGTACATTTTGACGTCTGATTCTGCTGTGTTATACAGAAACTTATTTATAACATATGTTGTGACAAACGTACAGTTTACTGCCCTAATGTTGTGTTATTTCAACTATAAATACCTGGTGTTAACAGTTTTATAATCATTCTGTGATGATGGTTCTGTACTTTATATCTAGTATTAACAGTTTTATAATCATTCTGTGATGGTGGTTCTGTACTTTGTAATGGTGTTTACAATAAGTTTTATAATCATTCTGTGATGATGGTTCTGTACTTTGTATATAGTGTTAACAGTTTTATAATCATTCTGTGATGATGGTTCTGTACTTTGTAACTGAAGTTAACAGTTTTATAATCATTCTGTGATGATGGTTCTGTACTTTGTAACTGAAGTTAACAGTTTTATAATCATTCTGTGATGATGGTTCTGTACTTTGTAACTGGTGTTAACAGTTTTATAATCATTCTGTGATGATGGTTCTGTACTTTGTAATGGTGTTAACAATAAGTTTTATAATCATTCTGTGATGATGGTTCTGTACTTTGTAATGGTGTTAACAATAAGTTTTATAATCATTCTGTGATGATGGTTCTGTACTTTGTATCTGATGTTAACAATAAGTTTTATAATCATTCTGTGATGATGGTTCTGTACTTTGTAACTGGTGTTAACAGTTTTATAATCATTCTGTGATGATGGTTCTGTACTTTGTAACTGGTGTTAACAGTTTTATAATCATTCTGTGATGATGGTTCTGTACTTTGTAACTGGTGTTAACAGTTTTATAATCATTCTGTGATGATGGTTCTGTACTTTGTATCTAGTATTAACAGTTTTATAATCATTCTGTGATGATGGTTCTGTACTTTGTAACTGGTGTTAACAGTTTTATAATCATTCTGTGATGATGGTTCTGTACTTTGTAACTGGTGTTAACAGTTTTATAATCATTCTGTGATGATGGTTCTGTACTTTGTAACTGGTGTTAACAGTTTTATAATCATTCTGTGATGATGGTTCTGTACTTTGTAACTGGTGTTAACAGTTTTATAATCATTCTGTGATGATGGTTCTGCACTTTGTGTCTGATGTTAACAATAAGTTTTATAATCATTCTGTGATGATGGTTCTGTACTTTGTATCTGGTATTAACAGTTTTATAATCATTCTGTGATGATGGTTCTGTACTTTGTAATGGTGTTTACAATAAGTTTTATAATCATTCTGTGATGATGGTTCTGTACTTTGTAACTGGTGTTAACAGTTTTATAATCATTCTGTGATGATGGTTCTGCACTTTGTGTCTGATGTTAACAATAAGTTTTATAATCATTATGTGATGATGGTTCTGTACTTTGTATCTGGTATTAACAGTTTAATCATTCTGTGATGATGGTTCTGTACTTTGTAATGGTGTTTACAATAAGTTTTATAATCATTCTGTGATGATGGTTCTGTACTTTGTGTCTGATGTTAACAATAAGTTTTATAATCATTCTGTGATGATGGTTCTGTACTTTGTATCTGGTATTAACAGTTTTATAATCATTCTGTGATGATGGTTCTGTACTTTGTGTCTGATGTTAACAATAAGTTTTATAATCATTCTGTGATGATGGTTCTGTACTTTGTATCTGGTATTAACAGTTTTATAATCATTCTGTGATGATGGTTCTGTACTTTGTATCTGGTATTAACAGTTTTATAATCATTCTGTGATGATGGTTCTGTACTTTGTAACTGAAGTTAACAGTTTTATAATCATTCTGTGATGATGGTTCTGTACTTTGTGTCTGATGTTAACAATAAGTTTTATAATCATTCTGTGATGATTGTTCTGTACTTTGTGTCTGATGTTAACAATAAGTTTTATAATCATTCTGTGATGATGGTTCTGTACTTTGTATCTGGTATTAACAGTTTTATAATCATTCTGTGATGATGGTTCTGTACTTTGTGTCTGATGTTAACAATAAGTTTTATAATCATTCTGTGATGATGGTTCTGTACTTTGTGTCTGATGTTAACAATAAGTTTTATAATCATTCTGTGATGATGGTTCTGTACTTTGTATCTGATGTTAACAATAAGTTTTATAATCATTCTGTGATGATGGTTCTGTACTTTGTATCTAGTATTAACCGTTTTATAATCATTCTGTGATGATGGTTCTGTACTTTGTATCTGGTATTAACAGTTTTATAATCATTCTGTGATGATGGTTCTGTACTTTGTAATGGTGTTTACAATAAGTTTTATAATCATTCTGTGATGATGGTTCTGTACTTTGTATCTAGTATTAACAGTTTTATAATCATTCTGTGATGATGGTTCTGTACTTTGTAACTGGTGTTAACAGTTTTATAATCATTCTGTGATGATGGTTCTGTACTTTGTAACTGGTGTTAACAGTTTTATAATCATTCTGTGATGATGGTTCTGTACTTTGTAATGGTGTTTACAATAAGTTTTATAATCATTCTGTGATGATGGTTCTGTACTTTGTATCTAGTATTAACAGTTTTATAATCATTCTGTGATGATGGTTCTGTACTTTGTAACTGGTGTTAACAGTTTTATAATCATTCTGTGATGATGGTTCTGTACTTTGTATCTGGTATTAACAGTTTTATAATCATTCTGTGATGATGGTTCTGTACTTTGTAATGGTGTTTACAATAAGTTTTATAATCATTCTGTGATGATGGTTCTGTACTTTGTATCTAGTATTAACAGTTTTATAATCATTCTGTGATGATGGTTCTGTACTTTGTAACTGGTGTTAACAGTTTTATAATCATTCTGTGATGATGGTTCTGTACTTTGTAACTGGTGTTAACAGTTTTATAATCATTCTGTGATGATGGTTCTGTACTTTGTAACTGGTGTTAACAGTTTTATAATCATTCTGTGATGATGGTTCTGTACTTTGTGTCTGATGTTAACAATAAGTTTTATAATCATTCTGTGATGATGGTTCTGTACTTTGTATCTGGTATTAACAGTTTTATAATCATTCTGTGATGATGGTTCTGCACTTTGTGTCTGATGTTAACAATAAGTTTTATAATCATTCTGTGATGATGGTTCTGTACTTTGTATCTGATGTTAACAGTTTTATAATCATTCTGTGATGATGGTTCTGTACTTTGTAATGGTGTTTACAATAAGTTTTATAATCATTCTGTGATGATGGTTCTGTACTTTGTAATGGTGTTTACAATAAGTTTTATAATCATTCTGTGATGATGGTTCTGTACTTTGTATATAGTGTTAACAGTTTTATAATCATTCTGTGATGATGGTTCTGTACTTTGTATATAGTGTTAACAGTTTTATAATCATTCTGTGATGATGGTTCTGTACTTTCTAACTGGTGTTAACAGTTTTATAATCATTCTGTGATGATGGTTCTGTACTTTGTATATAGTGTTAACAGTTTTATAATCATTCTGTGATGATGGTTCTGTACTTTCTAACTGGTGTTAACAGTTTTATAATCATTCTGTGATGATGGTTCTGCACTTTGTGTCTGATGTTAACAATAAGTTTTATAATCATTCTGTGATGATGGTTCTGTACTTTGTATCTGATGTTAACAGTTTTATAATCATTCTGTGATGATGGTTCTGTACTTTGTAATGGTGTTTACAATAAGTTTTATAATCATTCTGTGATGATGGTTCTGTACTTTGTAATGGTGTTTACAATAAGTTTTATAATCATTCTGTGATGATGGTTCTGTACTTTGTAATGGTGTTTACAATAAGTTTTATAATCATTCTGTGATGATTGTTCTGTACTTTGTAATGGTGTTAACAATAAGTTTTATAATCATTCTGTGATGATGGTTCTGTACTTTGTGACTGATGTTAACAATAAGTTTTATAATCATTCTGTGATGATTGTTCTGTACTTTGTAATGGTGTTTACAATAAGTTTTATAATCATTCTGTGATGAGGTTCGTGTACCAAGTGTTTCCTTACGTATTTTTCAGATAGACAGTCAAAGTTTGTCGGTACAGGGTGGAAGTCCGGTGACTGGACAGTTCTACCTTGACTCTACAGTAGGACTGAATACAGTCCTCCAGGTCATAGTCAACGACACGTCAAGTGTGTCCGTCCGAGTTACCGGCCCGGACGGTACAACATACACCGACAGCAGCGGTTCGTCTGTTAACTCTGTTAACCGAAATGTGGCCGTTAGTGGCACTGCTGCGGTAGGTAACTATGGAAACAAGGACCTTAACTCATCTGGCGATGTTGGTGGTGATGATGATGATGATGATGATGAATAACTGCACATGGGCAATTAAGTTCTTCGCAATAACCTATTGAAATAAATTTGAAAACAAAAGTCACTTGTTTTGTGTTACAGGCTGGTCGTTATACATATACAGTTACGTCCGGAACGGACCTGAAAGGAACGTTAATCGTGCAGTCCGGACGGAAGGACAATACCACGGATGGGCTCGTCGTCAGATCATGGACCTCTGAAAAACAGTACAGTTATGGACAAAGTTCGACCTTCACAGTTTATGCTTCCGTGCTCCGGAACAAATCTCCGGTATTGAGGACAACTGTCACAGCCAATTTGGAGAACGAAGATGGCGTGTCGGTAGCGATTGGCCTTAAAGATGATGGTGTCGGTATGTACATATAAGGCATTTGTGTGAATGTTTTGCTTTGTCCCTCCATTAGTTATAATATATAACTTTGTACTCAGCTATGAGACTCTTTTTTTAACTGTTTTATGATAGGGTCTGACCTGAGGGCTGATGACGGTGTGTATTCTGGCACTGTTCTTCCAAGGTACGTGACTCTTGATGGCCGTCTCAGTGTCAAGGTCACAGCTGCAACTACGGACGGAACGGCAAAGGTATTGGCAACTACTTCCGGTAGCGGTGCAGCTCCCCTCAGCGGCAGTGGTATGTGATACACTTGAAAACTCGAATGAATAGTTCGTAGTAATATCACAGACCAAGAATTCTTTACCTCTCAAATACATCGGATATAATTCTACATTCTCTGCTGATTTTATATAGAATTAGTTTATATTACCTAGTCACAACATATTGAAAACATATATCTATAATTATGTACCTATTTGAGGAAGATCTACATAAATGAAGTTTTCTGTTATTAAGTTTCGGCATATTTTTTGGCGGATTATGTATATGTTTTGAACATGTTATATACAGATGATAAAAACTCAAGTTAAACATTGTCTTTCTCTCGCTTCTTTTCTACAGATAGCTCTTTCCAACGAAATTAGAACAGTTAATTAAATCCAAGATGTTGTCTAGAAGTAGATAAGGAAGTTGTCTTAATCAAGGTCTATTTTGGTGACAGGCAACACAGTGACTCTTAGCAACCAGGAGAACTTTCAACGAGTATCCCAGACTGGTGAACTATTGGTTCAGAACTATGTGCCTGGATCACTACCTGACGTCATACCTCCCGCCAAAATCACCACCCTCTCACTTACATCTGTTGACGACACATCCGGTGTGATACAGGTCACGTGGAAAGCTGTTGGTGATGACATTGATGATGGAACAGGTAAATTTATTGATTCTGTAACATTTCAAATAGAGTAAAAACATCTTCCGATACCAAACGAAATGTTTCTTGACCAACTTTACTTTCATTCGTGAAAAGGTTTGATAATATTATAAACTATCATTAAATAGCAAACGCTAAATCACTGCATATCTTCAATAACAACATGTCCGTTATCAACAAATATATCTATCGCAACAGTGTTCAGAGTCAAGTAAATTGCTTCATTTCTCTAAATTGGGTTGTCTGTAATTCATTTCTTTGTACACACAGCTGCTGTTTACGATGTTCGGTTGTCAACTGACATCAACGCCTTGATGACAAACCCAGGAAGTACCACACAATTAACCTCCCAGTTACCTACTCCGAAAGTTTCAGGACAGGTGGAAACATTTACTTTTACCCTTCCGGTCCTTAATCGGGACGGTCGGACATACTACTTGGCAATTCGAGCCATAGACGATAGTCAGAACACTGGAGAGCTATCTAATATCGTTTCATTATCACTCGTGACCGACGTTAATTGGCTCCCAACCACTACCCAAGCCACCCAAACAACCACCCCAACCACTACAGCCATCCCGAGGATAGTCTACAACTCTGACCAGTCCATTTTGATTGGTCTGTCAACAGCAGCAGGTGTGGCTGCGATTGGTCTAATCCTGTTTGGTATAAGCATGTCCTGTTGTTTTGGTAGATGGAAAAGAGTGCCGCCACGAGAAAATTTACCCGATGACGTGGAATCCGGGTACATATCGAGACGACACGTGCGGAAGGGTCACTCGAGACGACAGAGAGGCTATAACAATGATCACGCTGATGAGATACGGGATAATAGACGAAGTCGACATAAACGGGAAGGCTATCTGGACGTGTACTCTATACCAGGTCTGACACCATACGATCATTCTTACTCATATCATGGCTCATCATCTAGTAACAGTATGCCGTACAATATGTACCGATAACAATCTCTTATAGAAATATGTTTAACTTGGCAAAGTGTTCTGCAGCTTGATCTCAGTATAACATGTTCAGAAGAACAGTTGTCAAAAACTTTAGGGTCAAGGAACATGATATGTAAGAAGAATGTTGAAATTATGTGGAGAATTTTAAGGATATTTAGAAGAAAACTTCACTTTAGTTATATATATGTGTGTTAAATATATGTTTTATTAAAGTTTATTTTTGATATGGTATACGAGCGTGTGTGGTATGGTGTGGAGTTAGTTAGTTAGTTATATATATATATAGACATATGTGATGATATGAGTGTTTAACATACATCTAATGTCTTTATTGTCGTATTGTTCATTCAAACAGTGTTATCTGATTTGTCAATATGTTTCCTGTTTATTGTTGAACTTGTAAGCAATAAGCACTGCATGTGCCGCTCAAGTCACCATAAACAACAGTGATGTTTAACAATGGAAAGTGGTGCCTCTAGGTATCAGAGAAGACTTTTGCCAGTATACGACTTCACACGCCCAGCCCTTTACTTTTGCTATTACTTGTTGCTCAATCAAAGCTTGATGTCCACATCGAGCGCTGTGATCATGAAAAGGTCATCCAATGCATTCTTTGATTCTAAAATGATTGTGATAGAACGCATGTTTGATTGGTTAAAATGATTGTGATATAACGTATGTTTTGATTGGTTAAAATGATTGTGATATAACGTATGTTTTGATTGGTTAAAATGATTGTGATAGAACGCATGTTTTGATTGGTTAAAATTATTGTTATAGAACGCATATTTTGATTTGATAATTTTCTTGGTCTAATCACTGGTAAAGTCGAATATCTACACTTGCGTTCCATAGCCTCTAGATGGAGCTTTCTCAACATAGGCAGAATTTTATAACTGGACTGAGGTAATCTCGGAGAGTTTTTTATTGAAAATAAATGATACTATCCAGCTTATTGTATGTATCATTGTTCTTTTCTCGTATTTTATATCTATGTGATTCAAGCGTCTGTATCGAGCGATTTTGCTTATCTGACGTCACATAAGTTTATTGTAAATGAGGAGTCAAATATCGGTATCAGAACTCTCTTATCCGTAAGTGCAGTTGGCGGTCAAATTTCAAAAGTCACTTGTCCGAAAAGGGTTGACAGGTATGTATGCATTTTAAAAATGTTGCAGTGTTAAATCGACGCAGTTTCATGACATTTCAAAACATAATTAAAGTACAAATGCCTGATATTATCAATGTGTCACATCTGAAATCTACTCGGGCACAATGTATATTACAAACTTCGGTAAAAGCCAAAATTAGAAGAAAACAAAAACAAAAAAAATCCCTCAGAACAAAATGAAAAAAATGTAAAACTGCTAAAACTAAATACAATAAAACATGTAAAAAACTTGAGGAGAAACATTGGTCAGAATTTAACTAAAAAATTAGTACCAGGTCGGTCTTAAATACAAACTCGGAAGGTAAAGCATACAAAAAGCAAACATTGTGGCTAAACAATTCTAAAAAGCCAGCAGCAATACCAACTGCACAACAGTTTGTTTAAATAGTATAAAATCACAGGACCAAATGAAAAAGATCTAAACATCCCATTCAGCCTAGAGAAATGAGTCAAAGCGGTTTCCGGAACCATAGATCCGTCCTTGATCCATTTGTTAGGCTATCTTGTGGAATGCCTTAAGTAAAAATCACCATACTTTGGTATTATTCCTAGATTTTAGAAAATGCTTATGGCCTAGTTTGGTATGAGGGTCTCTTACTTTCATAAAAGAAATAGAAATAACAGATAACATATATAAATGCAGGGTTAGATGAGTTAAATTTAGAGAAGGGGCTCCTACACAGTAGGTGATATCTTCCACTTTAACATATACATATTAGATAAACAAATATACTAACTGAGTAAAAAAAGCACCATGTAGGAAAGATAGGATAGTTTGCCGATGACACCAGCATTTGGCACACAAGTTACATCACACAAGGATACAATAATACAGAGAACATTAGATACCGTACAGGAATGGGCTGATAATTGGGAATTAAAACTTTCAAAAGACAGAACAGTAACTATGTCATTATCAAGAAGAACCAAAATACCAGAACTCTACTTAGTCGACTAAAAACGATATTTAGGAATAATATTTGACCAAAAAGTAATCTGTATACCCTATATATATAGCGTCTAAATAAATTGTAAACGAGCTCCTGACACAATCATTTACGTATCGTGAAACAGACTAGGCACTAATAAGATAAACCTTTAAAAGATATATAGTGCATTAATCAGGTCAGCAACACATAATGGATGTCAAATGTATGTCTCAGATGACACCTAAAAACACTAAATATAATACAACACAAAGCACTTAGAATGACAACAGGCGCAATAAAAAACCACACCCACTATAAGTCTACATACGGAAACTAGTGAAATACTAGTAAATCTTAGGGGAGAAAAATTGATAATAAAATACTGGACAAGAACTCAAAATCTAGGACCTGAATTTTCACCTAATGTTGAAGTAGAACAAGATAAGAACATTAGATATAGAGATAAACTAAAACAACAGCAAAAACCACCTTATAATTTTATAGTCATTCAACTACTAACAGAACGAAAGCTGGCCGAAATGGACTGAATTTTCCGAACCCTACACCTCCATTGTACTTAAAGACCACCCATTACCAGTACAGAAATTCTTAACAAAACAAAGAAAAAAGAAAGCCCGGTAGCAGAAAAATATAGCACTTTCAGTCATTAATGATACATATCAGGAAAAGTCGAAGTATTAAGTCCCGAAAATAACACTGTAGGATTAGGTATGTTTTTACCATATAATGACATTTCATTATCAATTAGATTATCAGACACATGTTCAGTATATACTAGTGAATTAATAGCAACATATCCCGAAAAATCACAAGGCGGAGCAGTAACAGACAATCTGTCTTCTAAACAGTCAGTACAAAAATAGCATCAGGCCCTCAATTATTGACTCTATTTTAAATCTGGTAAATTAATTAGACAATTTGGACATCAAAGTCACCTTTAAATATATACCAGCTCTATAGATATTACGGGTAATAATAAGGCTGGTTTAAAATGTTCTAAATTATGACAATATCGATTGAGAGGTTAATCGTTCTAAAGAAGAAGTATATTCGATGCTAAACAAGTCAATACAAGAATCTTGCTTAAATATTGGAAACATATTACTGCAAACAACAGTCTTAGAACAATCATATCAGAACCATCGAAAAACCCAAGATTATACACAAAATTAGTTAGAAGATTATCACTAGACTTGGATCAGGCCACACGATATTAAATCACAATATTTATAAAATCGGTAAAATAAAAACTGTCTTTGTCAAAACTGAAAAAGAAACCACAAACTACGTACTCCTGGATTGTAAGAAACATAATACAGAAAGACTAAAGAATAAAGAAAGATGGATGTGATAACAGGCTGTATAAATACCCTACTAAAACCGAGCGATATAGAAAGATGTGATACCAGGCTGTATAGATATCCTACGAAAACCGAGCGATAAAGATAGATGTGATACCAGGCTGTATAGATATCCTACGAAAACCGAGCGATAAAGAAAGATGTGATACCAGGCTGCATAGATATCCTACGAAAACCGAGCGATAAAGATAGATGTGATACCAGGCTGCATAGATATCCTACGAAAACCGAGCGATAAAGATAGATGTGATACCAGGCTGCATAGATATCCTACTAAAACCGAGCGATAAAGAAAGATGTGATACCAGGTTGTATAAATATCCTACTTAAACCGAGCGATAAAGAAAGATGTGATACCAGGCTGTATAGATACCCTACTAAAACCGAGCGATAAAGATAGATGTGATACCAGGCTGTATAGATATCCTACTAAAACCGAGCGATATAGAAAGATGTGATACCAGGCTGTATAGATATCCTACTAAAACCGAGCGATAAAGAAAGATGTGATACCAGGCTGTATAGATATCCTACTAAAACCGAGCGATAAAGAAAGATGGAGGGAGATAACTCGTATAGATAGGCGGGACTACTTCAGCAACACAAAGGTAGATCAAAGTACTGAAAGTCCTGAGAGGCTAAACGTTTACAAATAATCGCTAAGCTATACTACTTTCCCCATACTCCTACACTTTGGAATGCAAAAATTACTAAAATAAGAGAGCAATAAGTTTTTTTTTCTTAATTTTAAGCAATTTTATATCTTCTTTAATTCTTATTTAAAAATTGACGACAACAATGTGAACAAATCAAAATAGGTAAAAAAAAATACACACAACCATATATTTATCGCCAACAAGCCAAATGATGAATAGCTCTAAGATGAAGTTGACTAAATAAAACCTTTGAAATACCCAAGATGTTGCAATTACTATCCTATCAATATGAGGATTTAAACAAATCGAAAGTTTATACCTACTTCCTTATTTTGAATGTATTGCAAAGTAATAGTCCTTACTTATTGTAATTATATTTGTGGTTGAGGAAAGTAGATAAGGTGTACACAGCATTTCAGATAGTTAAAAGTGTACATAATTACATTAAATGTATTTACATGCCTATCTTCCATGAAGCATCATGGTTAGACTTTTCTTCCAGTAATTATATCTATAAAGACAGAGTTCTATGAGATTAAACCAGACTTCCATATATATTCAAAATTTACAATATTTTCACTATAGCTACTACTATTTCTGATCTCCAATGCATTAGATAATGTCACCATGACACGCAAAATGAATAAATATTTCGTTCTATTTAATTGAAAATTATAAACATGAATATTTTGGGTTTTTTTATACGCGCTTTGTTTGAAGGAATATTTTCATTTCAAGGAACTTTGATACACATTAACAAACCTTGAGAAATCAGCACAATCAACCTTCATCAAATAAAACTAATAAGTTATAACAAAGTCAACATCATAATCAGTACAGTATTAAAAATATGTTATTCATA